TAATGAGGTTAGTCAGCAGCACATCCAGTGATGTTTTCTCTGTTACATCAAACCAGCTCTCATTGTTCTGAAAATCTAGAGGAAGACGACACTCATCCAGACCATCAAAGATCAACAAGACTTTGTACCTGTACAGCTCAGTGGATTCAAGCGATTTCAGTTCTGGGACAAAGTGGTGAAGCAGATCAATCAGACTGTATTCATCCTTAATCAAATTCAGGTCCCGGAAAGGAAGAGCAAATATGAAGTGAATGTCCTGGTTTGCTTCTCCTTCTGCCCAGTCAAGAATAACTTTCTGCACAGAGACTGTTTTCCCGATACCTGCGACCCCTTTAGTGAGTACAGTTCTGATAGGTGTCACACGCCCACGTAAGGGTTTAAATATATCATTGCACTTCACTGTAGGATCTTCCGTTTGCCTTTTCTTGGATGCTGTTTCAATCTGTCTCACTTCATGTTCATCATTGACTCCTCCAGTTCCCCCGTCAGTTATGTAGAGTTCTGTGTAAATCTCTTTGAGAAGTGTTGGCTGTCCTTCCTTAGCTTTCCCTTCAAATACACACTCAAATTTCTGCTTCAGCTTACATTTGATTCTGCGCTGACACTGTGACAGAAGATGCCCTGAAATGAAATGAGAGAAAAATGTTTTTCAAAACATTTTCAAAACTCAAATTAAATCAAATTAAATAAATGATAAACTGAAATATAAAACACATTTTTTCATAAACTATTTCTCTGGGGCAAATCAAACACACACTGAATGAGGTACAGCTCTTACTCTTCTCCAGCATGTCAGCGAGATCATTTTGCTCCATGGTCCTCAGGATGTACAGTGTGATCTTCAGAGCTCCCTCTCTACCACAGGTCTTCTGCATCTGACCATCACTGTCCAGGTCATTGTCCTCCTCCAGCTGAGGCTCAGAGCATTCTGGGTCATTCTGATCCAGGTACCTTTTGAATTTCATCAGCTCATCCTTCAGAAACATTTGAGCTTTTTTCTCCAGTAACTGAAATGAACAGTCACAGTTGAATTATTATCACTCCTGGCACCGTATCTTTGTATGATTTCATTTGTGAATTATGCTGCGTTCCATTTGATTCCCCAACTTGGAAATTCTGAGTTTCTAGTCATAAATTTCAACTGGAACGCCCCCTGAAGTCGGAATTCCAACTCGTGAAGTCGGGGGAATCTACACAACCCTGACCTCAGAATTCAACATGGCTGCGCCCTTTATCAACAGAAGTTAAAGCTGTAGTTTTATAGTGTTTATTAGCAGTTAAGTCTTATTTGAGGCTCATTAAATTGGTCGTATACACAGTACTGTGTGTACTATCGTCGATACAGTGTTGTTATGCACAAAATACAACATATTGTGTTGTTATCAAGTGGTATTCCTAACAATGACTAACAATTAACCTGGATTGTTAACCTGGCTTGTTTCAGAGAGCAGATATTCTTGCATGTGTGGGTGTGACATCATAATTATCTCTGACTTCTGACCTCGAGGTAAATGGAATGCAGCATTAGTTGTAAATATCATGTCTTTGACAGGATGAACTACTTATTATACATCTGTAGAAGATGTATGTCAATTTAGATGAATTCAGAAAATATACTTCAGTAATAAATGGACACCTTGAAGATCGATGATAAGTTTCCTTTATGTGGGTGTGAATTGCACCTTTTCACTCGGTCCCTGTGAATAAAACACAAATATCCATCCATTAATCCATCCATCCTCCAGCCACGTATCCTGGTTTGAGGGTGGGGCAGGGTGGGGGGGGGTCATTTCAGACAGCAGAAGGCCTAGGATACGGGTTCACCCTGGGGGGGATTCTAGTCCATCACAGGACACAGACACACAGAGGCTGTCATATGTCATG